TTAAAGGCCTCCAGAATCCTCTCAATGTTGTGCCTATTCCCAATGCCCATGCACTGCAGGTCCCCGTGATGCTCGCAACCAGCAGAGCTCTGTGTGCACTGAAGTCCCCCTCACACACGTGCTCTGTCAGAATACTGGCAGAATCCTTGAGAGCTGCATTGCCCAGGGGGTCCTGAAGGAACTGAAGGCAGCTTTCAGGAACACGCGGGTGTCTCTGGGACACAGATCTGTGGACAAACACCACAATTCCTAATGGACACTGGCGGTGGGGAGCCGGAATGCTGCGGACAAACTCTTCCAAGATAGCTTCAGAAACGTCTGCCCTTCTTCTCAGCTCTCATTTCCAGGAAAAAGGATCTAACTGAATCGTTCTCATCCCTTTTTGGACCGTGAACCAACATCAGCAGTGGCACGAGTTCATCGTGCTCAGGTTTCCAGCGTTCTGGTGCAGCACCCACAGCCCCCTCACACTGCAGCCGCTCTGTGCCACGCAGCTGCTTGTCACACATGGTCAGATTTTCAGCTGCTGCAAATGCACAAATTAGCAAGGAAGGCTGGAGCTGCTGCACAGAGCTACGGCAGGCCGTGAGATGAACAGAGGCTGGGTGAGAGGAGCCAGGTGTGAACGAGCTGAGACGGTGGGCTGTTTGGAGATGGTCCATATACTGCATTTTGGAAAGGGTGATTAGGATTCCCATGAGAAACAGACTGAGCTGTGGAAGTGCTGAGGGCCTCTATTTCTGTGCTTTTAAATCAACACTTTTTTTTTTTTTCTGTCTTCTTTGTTCTGTTATTTCATCTTTGTCACCCGCAATGGGGCTATTGACACCGTTAGGGATTCCTCTTACAAGAATAGGAGAGCAAGAATGTAGATATGTGCAGGAGGGCTGCACATATCCAGCTCCCGTGGAAGTGAAGAAGGGTTCCATACACAGACCAAGAGAACCTTGGAACAGCAGTTCCAGTTTCTGAGTTTCAATGTGTTTTTGTGTACCATTTCTTCTCAGATAGATCTGTCACAATCAGTAATTCAGCTCGTGCAGGGCTGCTCATTGACAGCGTTCTAAACAAAAGGAGCTCAAAACTTTCTGGTGCAAAAGAGGCTCTCAGGTTTGTGCTGGATGGCTGCTTACAAACAGCAGTGCATCAGGCACTCCTGTTTTTCCTTCTAGCATTTCTAGCCTTTGAGTCCCTCTGTTAACAACAGATGGGGTCCCATGGAAGCCATCATCTGCAGGTCTGTGTCCCATTGTCAGCTCTGCCCATCCCCGGCTGCCCCTTCTGCACGTGAGGAGTTCATCTGCACAGCATTCCCCCATTATAGACAGGCTGCTTCACTTCATCGTGCAACCGCACGGACACACAGCCAGAGAGAAAGAGGTACGCAAAAACGGGAAGGGAAAGGGAAAGGGAAAGGAAGGGGAAAAAAAGGCAAAGCGAAATTCAACCCGCGCCCGTGGCCGCGCGGCCGCTCTCAGCCAGGCCGGGAAAGGAGCGCGGCCTCCCGGCGCGGCGCTGCGGGTCGGGGCTCCTCCAGAAGGCGGTGAGCGCCCTCTGCTGGCAGCGCTGCTCTCTGCAGCCCGCAGCGGTGTCGGAGCTGCGCCTTCCTTCGGCAGCGAGAAAGTCCCGACTGTCGGAGCCCTACCAAGAACTGAGATAAAAGCTGATCCGACCGCCCCGAGGTGCTTGCGGGCACCTCTGTCCTGCCCGTGCCTGCCTGTGAGCGTGCACCCTCGCACCTTCCAGAGTGCACGGCCGTGATTCGGCCTCACGGGATGCAATGAAAAAACTCACACGTAGAAGGTTACGGCAGGCTGACAGCAGGAGAGGCTGTGCGGTTCCTCTGAGAGCAGCCCAGATGGATCTGGGGGCACGGCTCTCTCTTGGGGTGCCGCAGGCTCTCAGGCAGCCGATCTCGGCTATTGTAGAGTCCTGCAGGCTGTGCCCCCTGCCCTGTTGCAAGCAGGGCCTGCAGCCACCACATGCTGGGCAGCGGCTGAGAGGGATGCCTGTGAGCAGCAGAAGCCTCTCCTGTCTGGAGAAAGCATACTCTGCCTCCTGACTTGAGCCTGCAGCAGCACAAGTCAACATCCTAGAGACACCAGATGCCTTCTGAACACCTTCACAAATGTGTCAGCAGCACATCCTGACAGGCACAGGAGGGTCACAGTGTGCATGAGGTGACCATATGGAAAACCCAATTCATTTAGTGGCCATGGAGAAAAGAAACCATTCTCACTGAGTGAGGCAGAGAGACTCAGCAAACGTGGTGTGACCAGGCAGGAGAGTGAGCCATGCCTCTTTGTCCTGAGCTCTGTAAGTGGCGAGGACACCAAATCAAAGGATGTGTAATTCACAAATTGTAGAATTGTTTGAGTTGAAAAGGTTAAATGCTGTCTAGCCCAACTGTCCTGCAATGAACAGGGACACCCACAGCTACATCAGGTGCTGAGAGCCCCACACAGCCAGACTGTGGGCGCCTCCAAGGACGGGGCTTTCATTGCCTCTCTGGGCAACCTGTGCCAATGCCTCACCATCTTTATTGTAAAAAAATTCTTCCTTATGTTCAATTTAAATTAACTCAAAACTCCACTGCTCAGCTATAGCTTAGGCAATTACAGGATATTTTTGATAGAAATTAGTAGTTCTCATCCCAAAGCAGCTTCTCTCACCAGGTAAGCAACAAAGGTGCTCTGAAAAGGTGGCCTTGACCATGGAACTGGAACTAACACTGGAGAAACGTCAGCCTGATGGGGAGGAGACTTCAGCTGAACAACGGTGAGTTCCTCTGAGCACGGGGCATTTCCCTCACAGCACCTTCTCCAGTCTCACGCGGGCTCCAGGTGCATCAGAGTGTGTGCAAAGAGGGGAATTCTGCACTGCTCCCATCGCATTTCATGACCCGGATAAAAGACAGTTTTCTGATGTTTGAGGCAGGGATGGGCAGAGTGCGGGTCTGACATGCAGGGAATGTGGGAGGTGTCCCACTGGCCGTACCGCTGCGATCGGTTCACTGCTCCACACGCCAAGTGCGCGACCAGCCCATCTCAGCGGGGAGCCTCTGCGTCTGCGTGCAGGCGGGCGGTTATGTTTGGGCCTGGAGCTGGGGGCCCTCTAGCGTTGTGAATCCTCCAGCGTGCCAGAAGAGCTTGTAAAACAGATCCCCCTCTTCAGAATTCCTGCTCCTGGTAACTTCTAATACCGTACTGCTGTTCTTTATGCTTTGCACTTATAACTTATGAAGGTGATGTGACCCTGAGCGAATCATAAGGTAATTACGGTCATGACACAAAATGCTTCAAGACGTTTCTGTTAGATGATGCAAAAGCCCGAAAGGCCTCTGCCTGACCACCCCCGCAGCGTGTGGGGTGCCCTACACCCAGCCCAGCCAACCCGAACAGCAGACACCCGGACAGTGCTGTGCTCTGGGGACAGCCTTGCCGGCGCTGAGCGCTGTGTGGGGCTGAGCTGCCCCCGGGGCACCGCCACCGCTCTGAGTCTTCGGAGACACGTGGGACAGCCCCAGCGCCCGCATGAAGTGCCCCCAGCCCTCCCCCAGCACTGCACCCTCCCAGCAGCAGCACCACCACAAACCCCACAATACATGGGGACACTGACTGCCAGGGGTACTCTGTTCCCATTGCCCACCCCTGTTCTGTGCTGGATTCACGCCACCCTTGTTCTGTGCTGGATGCACTATCTGTAGATCCTTCATTTTGAGTCAGTCTGCAGAAAATAATGCCACAGATAACTTCTGCTGATGGCTTTTCTCAGTTAAACAACTTCTATCAGCTTCCCAAAGTGCTGGAGCTGACGTTAATTTGCTGGACAGTCCCAAAAGCCACAGCGCTGCTTGTGGAACAAGGAGCAGCACTGCTGGTTGCATCAGGCGCAGTGCCCCACGCAGAAGGTGATGTCACCCCCGGCCCCTGCAGAACGATCTGGGTAAGCTGTTTTCCCCCACAGAGATTGCATCACTGAGCAGCCCAAGCTGCGAGCAGTCAGATTCAGCAGCAGGGCAGCTTGGCTGATCTCATACCGAATCTGTTCGGTTATCCCAACCTGACCATCTGCCTTCTCCACCGCACAGTGGCAGTGGGGAGTTTCTGGGACCTACCCTAAGCATTTGCTGAAGAGGGAATGCCTGAACTTCAGAGAAGAGAGAGAAACAGAAAGAATGCCTCCAAAATACTAGGTTTAAACCTAATAGTGTTCAAACACACATCCTTGCGCAGAACCATCGCCAAGAGCTGCTACCCGGGCCCCTCCATGAGCAGCAGTAATGCCGTCTGCCCTCGGCCGTCCGAATCTAGGGACGACGGTGTGGTTCTGCAGCGAGTTCGGCAGATCAGAGCTTCACAGCCGAGGACGTCGGAGGCAGAGGGTACAGAACGCACAGCGCCAATGTCAGCGCTGCCGGGAGAATAAACTGAAAAAACTGCCCCCGCACGAGGCTGAGGGGTTCTGCGGCTCCACGGGGAGACGCCGTGATGGAGTGAGAACACGGCACACCGCCGCGGTGCTTCCAGACATCAGCCCCGGGCCGCCCCAGGCAGTCCGACCACGAATCATGCTCGGTGCGCCGGCGGCCGGCGGGGGCTCCACGAAAAGCGGCCCCAGCAGAGCAGTCACAGAGCCCCGAGCGCCCCGCAAAACGCCTCACGGACCGGCCGAGTCCTGTCGGGTCCCGCACCCGCCCACAGCGGAGCCCGCAAGGCGGACACGAACGGACCCGCCGCCCCGCAACCCCGCTGCCCGCGGCGCCGCCTGCCCTGCTGGGGCGGTGCGGGGCGGTGCGGGCTGCGGGCGGTGCCGTGCACGGGCCGCGGATTTACATAGCACCGCCGCATTCCCGCAGCGGCCGCCAATGGGAGGCGGCGGGGCGGGGCGGGGCGGGCGCTCTGCGGTGCCCGGGGCGTTCTTCGCTTTGCTCCACGCGGCGCGGAGAGTTCTGCCCACGGAGCGCGCGGAGTTCGGCGCGTCCTGCCCGGCGCGTCCTGCCCGCAGCTCCGCCAGCGGAGGCTGCACCGCACCACACGCCCTGCCCGCCTCTGCCCGCTTCTGCCCGCACCGGACACAGGTGAGGCGCGGGGTCCACGCGCTCTCCCTCCCACCCGCGGCGGTTCTCATCGTCCCACGGTGCCGTTGCCGCCGGTGTCGGCGCCGCGCGGGCGCCGCTGCGGACACGAGACCGAACGGCGGGAGCTGCGGGCGGATCGCGCCGCCGCGTGGGAGGGAGCGAGAGCGAAGTGAGAGCGGTGGCCCCGCGCGTGGGCCGCAGCCGGCTCCGTTAAGTTCCGAGCGCGGGGTGACCGTGCGGGAGGACGGAGGTCGGAGCCGAGGGTGCGGCCGCCGCTGCGAGCCGCCAGTACCGCCGCGGGCCGGGAGCCCTTCGCCGAGACGTGCCCGGGCATATCCCGGCGCGCTGCCGCCTTCCTGCGGCGGGGGGCGCCGGCGGGGACCGAGCTTTGTGTGCCGCGGCCGGATCGGGGTCGGGCGGCGGCGGTGCGCGTGGGCCGGGGGCGCGCCGGGGCTCGGCCTGACCGCAGCGGGGGAGGAGGGGAGCAGCGCCGCGAGTGGGTGTGAGTGACGGTGTGATGGTATGACGGTGTGATTGTATGACGGTGTGACGGTGTGATGGTATGACGGTGTGACACGTCGCTGCAAGCAGCGTTTCCCGTTCTGGCCCCGCTGGATAGTTTGAGCCCGAACTTCGCCGTCCCGGCCCCGGGAGCCCCGGCTGTGTGCGCAGGAGCGCCGTTCTCTCCTTCTCGCCTCACCCCCGCTCGAGGCTCGCTGCAGTGGGGCACAGAGCAGCGCAGGTGCCGCGTCACCCCGTGCCGGTGCCGTGAATGGGCGCTGAGCATCCCTAAGGGCGCAGTGAAGCTGTACTGAGTGAGCGCTGATGGCAAACCGTCCTGTTCGTAAATGTAATTCTAATTGCACGATAGTTGTTCCTTCCTGGTATTAATGACCGTGAGTGATTCTGACTGAACCCGTCCTTCAGTTTCATTCCCCAAATGGTCCCGCAGCCCCGGTGCCCCACGGGGCAGAGCCGCTGCTGGGGACTCAGGGACACATCCAAAGGGATCCGAGTACGGACAGCAGGGGAGGAGGCAGGGGCTGGGCACGGCCACGGGCACCGCGTGCAGTCCTGTTTTCCGGGTAACATTTCTCTTTTCCCTTCCTTTTCATCTGCAGTTGTTATTTAGGGTTTTTGTTCTCCCCGGTTCTACTTTTCAGTCTGTTCCTGCGTCCCATCTGAGGCTGTGTTGGTGGCAGCCCAGCGCTGCTGCTCCCTCAGTCTGTTCAGAGCCCGGCCCTGGGCTGCCAATGGTTGCTTTGAGGACGTTTTTGTACCAATTCATTCATTTCCTCCTCCTTTTTGTTCTCTACCAGAATCCACTTGTTGGACACAAAATAAATGTCTAAATATAGTTCCCAAACAGTTTAGTTGTCTTCAAAACTATATTTTCACAAGGAAAGGCAGATCAAAACTGTTGCAGAGGTAATTGGGCAGCAGCGTGCTGTCACTGTGCTGCAGCACTTTGGATCTCACACAGTGAAACTCATTCCCTGCCATTCATAGTTTTGCAGTCTGAGCAGCAGCAGGTGGCAAAGTTGGAAGGTTTTGCACATCTTAAGACATAGGCAGTATGTTCTGCTTCCCGTTCCTGCTGATGTTCCTCTGGCAGTCACCTGGAGGGTCCGTGTGGCTTTCAGGGAAGCAGGAGGGCTTTGTCATTTGTTTTTATTTACTCACTGCTGATGAGTAAATTGTCATAGTTATTAATTAGACTATCAGAAATTACGAGGGCAGCATTATGAGGTTTTGGAAGTATGCTTCATTTCCAAATCAAATGTCTTGATTCTGGTATTGTTAAAATAGAATAGATCCCACAGCTCTGAATTTGATGCCAGGTACTGACAAAAGATTCCGTCCCACTCACCAGTACACTGACCGAGCAGCAGCAGCGCGCTCTGTGCTGGCAGCTGTGGGGTGGCTATGGGCACAGTGCACCATGCTGTCCCAAGGCACGTGTGCCCACACTGCTGTGGGATTCCTTCTGCCTCTGTAACTTTCTCTGTCGGGGAAATTGTTCTAAGCTGAGTCTCTCTGCAGGAGATAGGCTGCAAGGGGTGCATCTGTGTCTGCAAACCCTTCGCAAGTGGAGAAGCATATGTAAATATATGAAAGGAAGAGTCTGTGCCAGCACAGGCTGTAGTTGCCAGAGAGTTTCTCCAAGAAAGATCCCTTTTCTATGCATATCCCTTCCTTGTACTTCCACCGTGCCTCAGACGGCTGGCGGCAGGCAGCCCGGAGTCCCGCCTCCCTCTGCGTGGGTGCCGGAGCCCCTGCAGGACACACGCAGCACTGAGCCCCGAGCTGGGCGCCTGCTCCTCGTCCTCCATGCAGCACATGGCGGGTCCTAACTCGGAACCTGAGTGCTCGTCCCTGACATTGGCACAGAGGTTCCTCTTCGCCACCTTCTGAGATGATGACGAATTTCCTTTATTTATTCTATAACGTCAGTAACCTTTATGCTATTAATAGGCTGTGATCGTGCCCCTCCCGAGATGCTTGCCAGATAAATTTAGCTCCCTTGGCTCCTCATCGCCCCATGTCTTCACATCCAATCCTCGCCGGCTCTCGCTGCCTCTCCTTGCAGCAAACGAGACGCTGCCGTGCGCGTGAGCAGCAGCGAGCGGTGACTCACCTTCTAAGCTTGTCCGGGGGAGACTTCATCCCTAATGAATCCCGATCTTTCCGACCTGGAGCGCGGCCAGCTGTGCGTGCAGGGGCAGCAGAGGGGGTCGGACCAGGAGCGGAGCGCCCGGAGCCGCGTGCTGCAGATCCGGTGTCCGTGCTGCCAGCAGTGCGGGGGGTGGGGGCTGCATGGGGGGCCCGTGGCCGAGCCGTCCCCTTCCCGGGAGCTTTGCGGGGACCACCTCGGCCGAGCGCTGCCCTGGGGCTGTGAGGCAGTGCCAGGCTTCCCGGGTGCTCTTAAAAAGAGCATTCCCAGTGCTTCCTGCTCCTCTCCTGGCTGCTTTGGAGAGGAGCTGAATGAAGAGTGCGGAGGGATGGATTTTATTCTGTTTCATTATGTTGAGAACACACCTAGAATATGCAGAAGAGCACCGGCAGCCCTGAAGCTGTGAGCGAGTTGGTCTGTTTCATAGCTTCAGGTTTTGTTGCTTGTGCTCAGTGACACTCCAATCCCAAGTGCTCCCACAGGCCGTACTCACTGAAGATAGAAATCCTGGCTCTGCTGAGGCTGGGGCAGCTCTGCTGTTGTTTTCAGCTGAGCCATGAATCCCCACAGAAAGGCTCTGGCTGTATTTTGCCAGGAGATGGGTGCAGTTCTGCCAGCCCTCCAATGCTGCTGTGAGTCCATTCCACAGTGAAACTTCTGCAGTGCAGGAGACAAGCAGCACTCGGGCATCCCCTGTCTGGGATGCAGCTCCATGGCTCTTGTCAGAGCTCAGCTGCCACCTCCCTGAGCTGGGGCTTCTCTCTGTCTAACGGTCTGGGATGTCCCAGGATCCAGCTGGTGTAGCAGAATACTCTGACTGACTGCCAGACTGGCTTCAGTGGTCACTGTGTCCGGCTTCATATTGGAGATGACATTTTTTCTTCCACTGTGAGTAACGCAATGTGGCAGCAAAAGCACAGCTCCTCTACAGCCTTTCCCAGAAAGCCTCTTCTCTGCTTCCTGAGCTCTCAGTGCAGACTGCTGCGTGGGTGAGATCAGGCAGCCTCACTGCTGCCAAAGTGACATTCTTGGTGCATAAGAAGTGCAGGCTGTCTGCTGGCCGGTGTAGAAGCTTTTGCCCAGAAAAGGGCACACTACTCTACCAGAGTGTTGGGACTTGTGTGAACTCTGCTTTCCCTTCCTCTCTTCAGGTACCAACACCTCCCAGACACGATGGGCTGCCAGGAGACCGAGTACCTGGACGAGCACGGGAAGTGTGTGCCTTGCAGGAGCTGCATGCCTGGGCAGGAGCTCTCCAAGGTAAATGGCCTTTGAAGAACCAGGAATCACCCAGCACCAAAGTTTTCGCAGTGCAGGGTGGATTCTTTGCTAATTCTTGTTAAGGGGACGATCTTGGATTTCTGTCTGTTGGGAGGAGCTGACACTCGATAGGAAGGGAAGGTGAAGGGTTTCACTCACCTCGGATGGAAGGGCAAGAAGGTGGAAGCAAAAACTGGGGTGGATTCCATGCTGCTGTTGTATTTGTCCTCATTCCTTTTTGCCACAGAAAATCTGTTTCCTTCCAGTCAGTGGCCCATGTATGGCTGCCTTTCTGTAGCCCTTCCCAGAAAGCTGCTCTCTCTTTCCTGAGCTCTCTGCACAAGCCAGGCTGCAGGCTGGTGGGCACGGTGAGGCACTGCTGCATGGGCCCAGCTGTGGCACCAGGCTGTGTCCTGACTCCAGCAGTCCCTCTGGGTCAGCCCTGCAGGGTGTTCCTTCCCTCTGGCATATGCTGCAGGGACCAAGGCTGCCCGTGAGCCACTGCCATCAAAGCATGGCCTCCCCACAAGACCAGGTGTGAGGCTGCCTGCTCTCGGCTTTCTCTAGAGAAGAGGTGCTGTGCTCTCAGTATCACTTTGGGTCCTGAAGCATCTCCTCACTGCCATAAACCAAACCTCGTGTCTTGCAGGACTGTGGCGATGGTGTGGGGGGGGGATGCGCAGTGCGTTGCTTGCCCTCCCAGGAAGTTTAAGGACAGCTGGGGCCATCATGGCTGCAAGCCCTGCCTGTCCTGCGCCCTCATCAACCGCATCCAGAAGTCCAACTGCACGGTGACAGCCAACGCGGTGTGCGGGGAGTGCCTGCCAGGGTGAGCGGGGCCAGGCTGGGTTCAGTGCTGGTGGCACCAAGGGGAGCATGCAGGCAGGGGTTGGCGGGGAGTCTTTGTTGGAGGGCATTTCTCTTGCGGTGCCCTCTGCGATGAGCCCTGGTGGTCCTGAGCGGCGTCTCTTTGAGGACACAGCAATCGGAGCTACCAGAAGGGAGCTGGGAGCTCCCAGCAGAGCAAAGCACTGGAAGGCTTCAGTCTGAGCTGTGGGCAGCAGGGTGGCTGGGCCCCAGGGGACGAGTGGCTGCAGACCACTGCAATTAGCGGCCTCCAAAGAAGAGGGTGGGAACCACACCCTGAGCGCAGCATAGGAGGACATTGTGGTTTCTGTGGCTGTTGACCTCAGCTGATTTTTTTAAGGAGTTTGTGAAGCCAGGACTGCTCTGTACAGACTGCCCATGAAGGACCAAAGAGCTGCAGATGGTTTGCTCGTGAGCAGTGTGGTTTGTAACAGAGGAATGTCAGAGCTCAGGATTTTGAGTTTCTTCCCAGATGGAGTTGCTGGCTGAAGTTTTTTTTGTGGTTTCGTGGAGCCATTAATCACCACCGCCTCTGTTAGCGAGACCCAGGGAGGGGGAGGGAGGCCGTCTCTGGATGATGTCACTCCTTGGCAAAACAGCTACAGAAGTGAAGAGTAGCTCTGAGCGCTGCTTAGCTGGCGTCTGAGGGAGTCGTGGTGCCTGGAGCCATCCCGGCATGCTGCAGCATGAAGGAGCTCTCGGCTGCTGCCTGCAGCAGGGCCGGCTCTGACCCTGCTGACAACCCGCTCTGCTCTCTCACAGGTTTTACCGTAAGGCACGGCTCAGTGGGCAGCTGGACTGGGAGTGCATCCCCTGTACCAAGCAGACACCCTCCTCCGAGCCCCAGTGTAGGTGGCCCTGCGAGTGCGGGAGGTGGGAGGACAGGGCAGGAAGCCACACAAAGCTGGCATGAGCATGTCAGAGCTGCTCAGGTGTGCTCCTGCACCATTGTAGAGATGCTGTTTGCTCTCTGCAACACTGAGCCCGTGTCCCACATGGACGTGCTGGAAGAAGTGTGTTCACTACATGTGAAGGGGGATGGGGCAGGGAGGGTGGTCTGAAGCATTGCACCCTCTGGTCAGGCTGTAAAGCTCAGACTGCTGTGTGCAGGTCGGTCCAGAACAAACCTGGTGAAAGTGGCAGTCCCCACCGTGCCGCCACAGGACACAGCCCTGCTTGCTCTGACCAGCAGTGCCCTGGTCATCATCGTGCTGGTGCTTCTGGCCCTCTCCATCATTTACTGCAAGCGGTTCTGGAAGAGCCAGTGCCAGCGAGGTGAGTCTGTGCATGCCACGCATGTCTCCCTTCTGCCTTTGCTGTTTGCACACGTTCCAGGCCCCTTCCTTGCTGGGTAGGGCATTGCCTCGAGCCTTGAAAGTCAACCAAACATTCCTCTGTTCACAGAGAATAAATACCTCATCCTGCTTCTTAGGAGGTTTCTCTTTTGCTTTCTTGTGTCTGCACAAGGATACTGAGGAGCCTCCCTGGCTCCTGTACCATAAGCAGCAGTAGAATGTAATTTCACTGTCAAAGCTGGCATTCTCTCTTGCTGTGGTGTCTCAAGGGCAGGTGGATGCTGAGTGGTTCTTGCAGGATGAGGGCTGGGAGGCGCTGAGGTGGGAGGGAGTGCTGCATGGCCCCACACGGGGGTGTCGGAGCGGCCGGGTGTTGGAGGTCCTCTCAGGCTGACATTCCCTGCAGCTGAGGGCATGCTGGGGCCACAAGCCAAGCCCTTGCTCACAGTGTTTCTTCTCTATGTCCAAGTCTTCCTGCGGACGCAGAACTTCTCAGGCCAGCGCGCAATGGTCCCCACCTCAGCAGTGCCCGGCAGGTTTCTATGTGAGGAGCAGATGTCCGGTCCCTGCTGCCTGGGCATGAAGAACCTCAGCCCCTGCTACAGGCAGACAGAAGGTACCATGGCTCTGTGTGCTCTGAGGGAAGGGTGGACGCGCTGGGCTCCCAGTCTCACTGTCTTAAGAAGTGCTGAGACTTTGTGAAGGAGCAAAGAGCTGGATAGTTTGGTGCTTCTCTTAAAAACCACATACAAGTTTTGTACCAGGCGCACTCAAATTGGGCTGCAGCTGCTCCCAGCCTCTGCCCAGCTGTGTCCTTGCTGTCATAGGGGGTGGCACAGACAGGACGGAGCTTTGCAGAGGGGCTTTTGAGCCTCTCTGTGCTGGGCAAAGGACTGAGGGTGCGGTTGGGAGGTGGGACGGGCAGGGCTGGGTTGTACTGAGCTGCAGTCTTTTCCAATTCCAGGCCCAGTAGAAGCGGTTCAGTTCATTTCAGAGGGAGAAGCCATCGGTCTCCAGCTGCCACCTGCCCAGCCTGAGCTGGAGCTGCCACCGGCCGTGGCGGGCAGCCCTGTGCCCAAGGGCCAGCTGGCCAGGAGCGGCCTGGAGAGCCAGCCGCTAATGCGGGGCTGTGCTGAGCGCCGGGCCACCGCCATGGCCACCTCCGACCTCAGGTCGGGCCCAGCAGAAGCCCTGGCCCCGCTCTCCTCCTGTGCCTCTGAGATGCAGCACAAGTGGCCGCACACCCCGGTGGAGTGCACCGAACTCGACCTGCAGAAATTCTCCTCCCAGATGGAGTTTGTGGGCAGTGAGCGGTCAGAGCAGGCGGGGAGCCAGGCAGCCCCCAAGGAGAGCGGCAGCGCGGCACTGGAGGCCGGCAGCGGGCTCAGCATGGGCCCGGCGAGGGACGTGTCCACTGCCATGCAGAGCCCTGCCATGCAGAGCCCTGCTGCCGAGAGCAGGGAGCGGCAGGTAAGTCAGCACCGTGAGCTGCCCTCACACAACCTGTGCCTCGGGATGGAGGTTGGTGCTCAGGGAGCGCGGGTTCATGGGAGCTGGGATCACTGCATCCGGGGTAACTGTGGTAACCACCACAGCCAATTTGCCAGCTGTTTCATGGCTTGCTTGGAGCAGGTGAGGACGCTGTCTGTGGGCCAGGCAGGAGCCCTGGAGCAGCTGGTTAGCTTGGTAACTCGCACAGGTTAGCTTGTGACGAACCCCATCATTAACATAACTGAAGTTCAGAAAATGTCTGCTTTAAAATAACATAAAAGCATTTATTGGCTATTTACTAGCCTAGCTCCCAGACTGTGCTTGTGGAAGCAGTTTGCTGCTGGGGAGCCCAGGAACATCCCTCAGAGGCTGTTAGCTCACAGGGCAGCAGTGCTGGAAGGACAAGTGCCGATCCTTCAAACCTCCATGATGGGCCTTGGAGCAGTGATGGGCATCGCTGCTGCTCTCACTGTCCCTAACCTTGGAATCTTTATCTTGCCAGGTGAATGATGCCCAGAGCCTTGTGACTCAGATCAGCAGTACAATGAAGGGTAAGTGGCTTCCAGACTCATCTTTGTTCACTATATATTGAGGTAGCAGACAGATTTCGCAAAGGAGCTCCTCCAAAAGCCCATCCTGGCTGCATGGAGGTGCCACTCACCACAGAAGTTTGGCTACCTTTCATAACCCTTAGTTTCCAGGGCAGATTTTCTGTAGTACTGCCTGAAGTGGCTTGAGGGTGGGTTGTCACTGTTACCAGCCTCTCCAGGACTGACCCAGCTCTGTGCTGTTGTGCTCTGAAAGCAATGTTGGAGGAGAAACCTGCTATGGCAGGTAGATGTTCTACCTGTTCATCAGGGATGGGGCTTGAATCTGGCTAGTGTTGATTTTTCACCCAAGCTGGATGCGCTTTCTAACCCCACTTTGCTGTATTGCCATCCCCAGGTCTCCCTGTTGCAGATCTGCCCCATTCCTTGGTACAGTCACTCGCTTTCTTGTTAGACCCTTCCTTGAACGGCGTGAAGAACTTCAGCCACGTGGCTCTGGAGCTGGGAGTCATGCCTCAGTTGCTGGGCCGGATTTCTGGATTTGAGCAGCTCGTCGCTCACCTCACCTACTCGGGAGACACCGTCACCATCCCTCGGCTGGCCCAGGCTCTGCAGCGGCTGCAGCGCTTCGACGCCCTGCTTTTGCTGTGCGACCACTTTGCTCTCAGCCAGATCCAGGGCCGCCAGTGCTAGGAGAAGTCAGGGAAGGGACAGAGGAAACTGCAAGCACTGTGTGTACTGGTACGGGAGAGGATCTGGTAGCCCTGTGGTCACGTCATCTCTCTAATGTGCATGTGGGAAGTATATGGAGATGGTCTTTGCATTGTGGAATAGAAGCATGCAAGGAGGAGCATCCTTCCTAGGTGAAGAGCAGAGGAGCTGGGGAGGTGACAGCACTGCATTCTCACAGCTCTCACTCCTGGGGAGGTTGTGCTCGGCTCCTGCAGTTCTTTTTTCTTCAGCTGTACTTACTCCCATGTCCAGCAGTATAGCAATGTCACAGTTGCTGTGCCTGTTGGTGGGTAGTAAGCCCAGTTCTTTGCAAGCTGTTGGCTTTGGGATCAGTTCTGTGAGGTCCTTGGTCATGGCAGATTGTCTTCCCAGCTCCTTCCTCTGCCTGAGCAACAAGCCATAGGGGTCTCTGGAGGCCTCAGGGTGTCTTCCACACCAACAGTGCTGATGTTTGCTGGCTTCTCCTCAGTTGTGTACTGCTCACTGACAGGGCCAACAATCACTTCTCTCCCATTCCAGTTTTTCAGAACTTTTTCCTTTGGCCCCTACTTTGTTTTTCTGGATTCCTGTTCCTACTTTGAGTTGAATCTCTGTTCTCTGTATTTTGCTCTCTGTGCACTGGAGATGCAGATCCTGGAGGAGGACCTGCATGACCATCACTGTGTGGCTGGGAGTCACACAGTCATTCTCAGTGGCACTGCAGCATTTGGCGTGTTTAAATTCATTTCCTTTACTTGAAGAGGTACGGTTTTCTTAAAGGAGTACAGTTTTCTTAAAGTACCGGAATACTTTGATGTGGGTTTGTGTTGGATGCAGCGCTGTGCTGCTCCCTGCCCAGGGCAGTGTGTTTGCTCCCCAGTCTGCTGGTGACCACCTGTGCTGTGCAGTGCATCCACCTGCTGCCCGCTCGGTGTGGCTCCAGCATTGCTGTGCGGTGCAGTGGAGTGCCAGAGGCCGGGACCCTGCACTGCCTTCTGCAGCACCGCAAGGTGCAGCTGGTGCTCGGCTGCTGCCAGGCACGTTGGGCCGGCTGTAGGCCGAAGCTCGTGACCGGGACTGCAGTGTGGGGAGTGCTGGAGTCCCTGTGCAAATCACAGCAGAGCAGGCTTGTTTTAAGTTGGTGGGGGTTTTTTGGTGGTTTTTTTTTTTCTGAGTTAATTTTCTCATTTCTGGAAGTAGCTGTTAGGGAGGGAACACCCTTCCACATTTAATTTGCTCCTGATGGATTTGTCAGGGCTTGCAGCCATTTGCCTGTGTGAGACTCCCTTTGAGTTTAGGCGCAGTGCTATGGGGCAGCTTGCAGGGCTGGTGGCTGCCCCCGTGCTCTGTACTGCCCGCATCAGGGGCTTCCAGGGAGCCTTCCAACAAGTGGGGTTTGTGTCCCACAGCGGAGTGACTTTCAGCAGGACGCCGTGCCCTGCCTCAGGCAGCAGTGCCCACACAAGTCCGTCGCTCCAGGATTTTTGTGGAGGGCAAATCCCAGCACAGCAGGTGGGGAGCGGCCCTGCGGGGGAGGACGGAATGCAGGGCCCCGTCAGCTGGGGGAGATGCCCGGCACGCGCCCAGCCCCGCCGTGGCGGGGATGCCTGTCCCAGCAGGGATGCCTGCACTGCTGAGGTCACGGCGCGGCAGCTGAGCGGTGCTGGTGGGACCTCACCTCCCTGGCTGTGCTGTCTGAGCCGTCGCTCAGCTTCTCTGAGCTGAGATCTTTGTGCTGTGCCCGGCTCCAGTAGGTGCTACGACACCAGGCTGGGAGCTGGTTGCCGCATGGTGGGCAGGAGGTGTCAGCCCAGAGTGCACTGCCAATTGCACCAGGACAACGTGGTGCTGAGCTGTCTGCTCTGCCCAAGTGTGCATGCGTGTGTCTTGGTGCCTGCACCTTGTGAGCTCGGATCTTGAGCATCTCAGTGCTTTGACCAAACCGTGCTGTGAGTTGTTAAACCCAGGGATTTGGGCAGCAAGGTGACCTTGAGGTGCTGATGGGAGGCCTTATGCTGGTGCTCACTGAGCCAGGACAGCACCCAATCCTGCTGGAGATCAGTGGGAAGTGCCTTTAGGTCAAGGTTTCTCCAGTGATATACCGGGGAAAATGAGCCTGTCTTGTTTCTCCCCTCTTTCTACACCATTTTGTGCCTGCTGAGTCCATTTCCTTGCCTGACTTTCTCCCCTTGCCCTGATCTTGCTGCTTGTACCAATTGGTTCTGGTGGACAACTCGGGCCTTTTCTGTCCTTCCTGGTGCTGCTGTCTCCTCGCAGCTGCTGCTCACAGCCAGATGGCTGTTGGTCTGAGTGCCTGTGCCCCTGGGCCTGTGGGACAAGCTTGCTGCATGCCATGTCCCTGTTGAAGGCTGCAGCTGGCTCTGAGCGCTGCGTCCCCCCCCTCTGGCTGGCTGTGCTGTCCCTGGCCGCTCCAGCGGTGCGGTGGCTGCCAGCAAGTGGCACTGTTCCACTGCCGGGGCATCCCCAGGCTCTGCTTCTTCTTATCTGACCACGGTGCTTGGAAAAAGTGCACGACTTTCTGGGAACACAGCCCTCCCTCAGTTCTGCCCAACAACAGTATTAATAGATGTTCTGGTTTGGTTTTTTCCTCCTTTTCTCTTGTTAAAGGCTGTTAAGATTTGAACGTGCTCAGGATGTGGTCAGATAACAGGAGGCATGGGCAGCTCTACTGGATGTACCATTTTGTCTCCCGCTGTTTATATCTTCCAGAGCTGTGGTTGTTTCATTGTTCTTTCTTTGTGAGAACCAGAGATGTCAGTCAGACCTGGCACCCTTTTTGGCTGAGGCTAACCAGGCTCTGGGGATGTGCTTGTTCTGTTGCAGAGCCATCAGGGAAAGCGTTTCTGGTGCAAACACAGTGCAGGGACCCGGGGCTAAACTTTTTTTCTTCATCCGAGATTCATCTACAGCAAGGATGGAGTATTGGATTAATTGCTTGACAGAATCAAATATTTAGTCTCTGTGGACGCACTTCACAACGATGAGGTCACCTGTTTGAGCAGGAGCGATCACGCGGCTGAGATATCAGCTGTGGCTCTGGAGGTGAAGCCGGGCTGGTGCCTCACACTGTGCCTCAGGAGCTCCTTTCTCTGCCCGCTGGTGGGGACCAGGCTGTGGCTGCTGCACTGCACCGCTGCCGTGAATTAGGAACAGAGCAGTTAATGAGAGCACAGCAGTGCGTGCTGCAGAGCCTCACAGGGACAGTGGCTTCTGTCCCTCATGCCCTCCTTGGGCATTTCTGCTGACGTAGGTGGGCTCTGGACAGAAAAAGATTTGTTCGTTTTTTCCTTCTTCAAAGAAATCAGCCCCATTCTCATGATAGTTTTTAAGGGGAACTTTGATATTTAGCTGTGTGATGCCTGAGCAGTATTGCTCACGTTCAGAACCTACCTCTGCCGCGGTGCTGAGGAGGCGGCACGCAGGGCCGGTCGCCGCATTTTAGCTGTTCTAACTTTATAGCTGTTCACTGTGCTCGCTGCCCCGGTCCAGCTGGGGCCCACTCAGAGCTGCTGTCACTGTGAGCCGCCGCGGGCGGTGCTCCATGTCTGCCGCAGTGCTCTGCCATAGGGCTGCCCATGGCCGCCATCAGCCTGCGCTGGCAGCGGGCTCACATCAGCCGCAGTCACGCAGGCACGTTGTCAGAGCCTGCAGGGCTGCTCCTCACTGCCCGGCTGAAGCCCTCAGAAGAGAGGGACCACAGGAGCCCAAAGATGGGGCCATGAGTCTGCAGCTTGGACGTGGGCAGATGGCAGCCATTGCTGGGCAGGTGGGCGAGCGTGGATTTCATTAGCTGGGAACCCATAGGCTTGATACTTGACTTCTGATTTTTCTCCTTAATAGTATTTTCAGCACAACAATTGGAATGTAAGGGAAACAAGTTCCCATAGCGCTGGATCTTGCGTTTCAACTTCAGGAAGCTGCTGGTGCCAAGCTGGCACGGCTCAATGAAAGTTGAAAGAAATAAAATAATTCAGCATCTGTGCAAACTTTAGTTGGAACTGAACAATGGAAACACTCTTGGGCAGTGGATTTCTGCAACGAGCAATTGTTCTGACACCAGGCTTGTCTGGAAGTCTGATCTACAGGAAGAATTTACACGATGGGTTTCAGTCCAGTGCTGTTCAGAAAGTTCCTAAGCACACTTAAAAAATAGGCATGTACATAAATCCTATTAAAGTGAACAAGTAATTAGTGCATCCTTGGGTGCTATTCCTGAGCAGGGTGCGTATGAGAATTGTACCTTCACTGTGCTGTCCCGTGAGCAGGCAGCGCTGCAGAAAGCTGTTTGATCAGCATGGGCACACTTTCAGAAGTCTGCAAGTGCTAAGGAGAGATGCACCACGGTTTGTTTAGATGACTTAACATTGCAGATTCTGGTGCTTTTCTGAAAATAAATAATGTTCTATAGCCATGGTTTACCTCTAGGAATACTTGTTAATTTTTATGGGAGGTGTTATTTCAGTTGTGAATGGGTTATTTATATTTTTGTAAATCCTACGTCATTAGCATTATAATTCTGAAGCTTAGTTGTTTCCATTGTTGGCTTTTTGGGGGATGTTGTCTGTATTCAAATGAAACAGCAGCTGAAGCTCTTAAGTTTTTGTTAAATACGGGGTGTTTGTTCCCCACATTCCACCCAGACGCAGTGCTGTGTACATGTAGTTAAATAAATCCCAGAGGTGGAGGTGCTCGGTGAGTTTTCATTGAGCTGTGCAGGGCTGGGTGAGGTGCTGTGTGGGGCTCGTGTGTCCCCAGGCGTGGGGATGGGAGGGCAGCAAACAGCCCCCAAACGCTGCCCAAAGAGCCGCGCTCTGCAGCTTCGCCGAGGAGCGGTTGTTCTTCCAGCTCCATAATTACAGCCCTCATTAAGTCTGTTCATGCCCCTGCACTTGGTCTGCTCTTTAAAATAATTACTAGAATGAAGGATATGGTTTTCTGTTTTAATTAAAGCTATTATACTTGCCCAAACTCTCTCATGCTTCATAGGTTCTTGTATGAATGTAGCTTGCTCGTGGCATAAGGAACACCCGCCCGGTCCAGCGTGCCTCACTGACTGCATCTGCACCAGCAAAGCAGTGCAGGAGGCACCAGGAATGAACACAGGCACAGTAGGAGGACAGCCTGCAGTTGCCTTGCTGGAGCATGTACCATGTGGCAGAAGCAGGCAAGGGGCAACCTGGCACCAAAGCCCTGGGGAGTGCCCAGCAAGGCAGCGAAGCCACCCATAGTGCACAGAGCAGGAGCTCTGCCAGGGTTTAACGTGGCACAGCTGCTCATTAGCACACAATGATGCCTGATTACGTGCAATTATGTGACGGTTACAAAAACTGCTCATAAATGATCAGAGTGCATTTCCCAAGCCCCTCTACTTCTGCCATCAGCGTGTCTGATTGATTCCCTATTGTCCAATGCCCTCTGTGCCATGTGGGCTGCGGTTCAGGGCAATGCCACCCCTGAGCATTAAGCCAGGCTGGGAGTGGCCCTGCACGGCCCCGTGGTTCCAGGAGGTGGCTGTGGCCATGGCTTCAACACCTGCTTTGCAGCAGGTAATGCTGCAGCACCCAACAAGGCAGCCACAGCAGGGGAGAGGAGCACTCAGAGAGAGAAGCTGAACAGAAAGCTGGTCATCAAATCAAAAGGCTGGGATGATGTGTTTATCACCGGTGCTCAGAGTCTCTTCTTCCCTTTTTGCCTTTGTCCATTTCTCCATCTGCACCATGAATCACATCATAAATGAATAAACTGCCCTCAAATTAGAAATGAATCCCCAAAGGGTAGCCAGCAATGTAGAGTGCAAAAGTTTTATTTGAGAATTCTATTTGAAGGTACAGTCCTTCAGCTCCCTGCCGGAAATATTGCACGTGGGCAGCAGGCATGCAATGAACATTGCCCATCTCAGAGTGCCAGGAGGGGGAACATGATGGTGTCTGAGGGGTTTGGCTGCTGGGGACCAAAAGACTCAGTGTTCATTAGCAACTTGCTCTCATCTATAGCTGAGATGTCTGAACAACCAATCAGTATTCATGTTTGTCAGCCAGCACCATTCAACCAAAGGACAAACGTAATATTTCCACATTACTCCCTGCAAGCTGTGAAAGACAGCAGAATATTACATTTCAGTATGTAAAAGACAATTTAACGCCATTCAGCAAGATGGTTTTTAATACAACACAAGGCAATGTTACTTTCAAACTGACTTTAACTGTGGGTTTGCTAAATTAACCCTCGAGCTTCAGAAGAATAATCTGCAGCCTGCAGCAGAAATCTGCACGTGACAGGCTGCTTTATGTGCAGCCCCTGAGGAGAGGCAGAGCAACAGCAGCTGGCGGTACCCCAGCACCTCTCTTTCCAACCAATTAGAAACACAAGCCACAGAACTTTGCAGATGCGGAGCTGTCAGTGATCACATCTTGAAAATCACTGCGCTGCTTTCAGCTCCAAGCAGCCAGCTGAGCTCCTGCCTCAGTGAAAGCCTCCCTCCCAGAACACACGAGGGTGGGTGGACGTGGTGTGGGCTGCTGTGTGGCAGGGATACCTGCAGTATGTCAGAGAGACGGGAGGAGGAGGTACAACTTACAGACACTACAGCAATACTAACAGCAAGTCAGTGAGCAGGAATTCCATTTACGTGGATGCTCCCTCTAATTGTTCCTTATGGTTTCCCACAAAGCAATAGTTTCTCTCTCCAGCAGATAAATTAGATGGCCCGTCAATCTAATTTTATAAGTCAATTTGTCTGTTCTTATGTGCCAAGGAGTTTTTTTTTTTATGTGGGCTGCGACAGGAACAAAAGAAGTCTCTCTAAGTGGCAAACACCTGTGCGGTCGGACCAGGCACTTGGTTCCTGCAGGACTCAGCCTGTTGAGTTTTCAATTTTCCTCTTCTCCCCATCACTCCAGTAGGTGACAGCCACCATTCACAGCTTGCTATGGGCAGTGGAGCACTGCAGGCTCCTGGCGGAGCCGGTAACATGAGCAACGCTTGGTTCGGGGATGCAAATCTGCATTACATGGGCTAAAATGTTATCTTAACCCCGACTGCTGGCAGCAAAGGAGAAATCACTGCCGGGGAGCGGGATGGTGGGACACAAAGCACAGCTGCTTGGTCTGTAGGGAGACCTCAGCCCCAAGGAATCTCTCCTGCAGACTCCCATGCACTGCAGTGGTCGGGAGCTGCTCCTGCCTGCCCCATCCACTATTTCAGGGCAATGGAACAGAATGGGCACTGGCACAGCTGTGGGGCTGGCAGGGAACAGTGAAGGCCTCGGGAGCACTGGGAAACGGGCCTCAGGGCAGCACAGGGACATGCACGGATCTGGGGTTACTGCCGAGGTCTGAAATTCTGAATCAAACCCAGAGCTGGCTGCGGTGTTATGCTTGGCATAAAACCCAGCCCTCATCCCTCCAGTACTCCTGCTTGGGCCTCACCCAAAGCCAGGCAGATCAGAGGCATTGCTCTCCCAACCACAGTGCAGGAGGCAATAGCTGAGGGAGATGGGCATTGGTTTTGGTCTGTGAGAGGGCAGAGCTGTGTCCTGCAGGCGCAGAGAGCCGTTCCCTGCTGCACCCTCCTGAGTTCTGTTCACCCTTTCCCAGCTATTTCTTCTGGGAGTGCCCCTGTGAGAAATCTGGGTTCTTCTCCCTCTCCTTTCTCAGCCTGAGGATGGACAAGGCTGCTGGTTTCATAGCAGTGCAGGTACAAGTGGACAGACAGCCCTGTGTTCCCACCTGCCAGGGCTTGATCTGCACCTGAGAACATTCCCATGTACTCCTTCAAACAGACTCAGAAAACTGCTGTTTTCTACCTGGAGAGCTAACTGCTAATAGTTCTGCTCTGCTTTTCCTTCCTGAGCTAATCTTATGACTCACTGTGCATTTCTTTCTGCCTTGCTTTACTAATCTGCTTGGCATTCGGCGGTTTCTTTGTTCATTGTGCAGCAAGGCCGTGTAAGGGATTTGTCTCTGGAATTCAGGTATCCTCCATGCTGTGCTGTTATCGCCTCCATCAGCAGCTCTGCTGTAGGCAGTTGGATGCATCTGGCATGAGCTAACTCAAGAAACGCAGGGCTGTGAATCACTCAGACATCGCTGCTGGATCTCTGCACGCTGCCTGCGCTCAGGCAGTTTCTGTGCGGCAGATTTCTATAAGGTGGTTCCCACCCACACACAGCGTCTGAAGGCGAAGCAATGACTGCAGCATATCAGCATCCATTTACCTGCTGCGCTGGCTCTGGCCTTGACTGGTTTTAGCCACTGCAGGAGTACTGTTGCCTGTCGCAGTCCTCAGCCAGGAGAGCCCTCCGAGTTCTGCTGCCCTCCAATTGTTGCCACAAGCCCTGTGTCTGCAGCACAGCAGACGTGACCTTCAGCCAAATAACTCCGCTCAGCCTCCTTCATATCATAGAGTCATAGAATGGTGTGGGTTGAAAAGGTCCACAGTGATCATCTAGTTTCAGTCCCCCCGCCATGTGCAGGGTCACCAACTGCCAGACCAAGCTGCCATGCATCCCGTCCTCTTCTTGCAAGCTGCTGAGTGAGTGCTGTCATGTTGGGGCATCCTCAGGTGATACGGGGCCTCTGGGCAATGGGCTGCAAGGCTCTGAATTTCAATCAGGCAGTGATAGTCACCAGCCCAGATAGCAAAGTCCTTACAGAGCTGCAGTACAGTCAGCTCCTACATTGTGCCCATTTAGGGGAGAAAAGCTCAGCAATACAGACGTGTTACAATTTACAGATCTAGGGAAAAAGGCTCAGTTACTCCTCACAGCAAGAGACAGCCATGTGCGTGGCAGGGGACTGGCAGGAGACCAAGGCATGAGCTGAGACCTGCTGCTTGGACTGAGATCTTCAGTTCCTCCAGAGAAAGATCACAAAGCCATTTAAAGAAAGGAAAGACAAAAAAAGAACACTAATAAATCTCACAGATGGACTCAGCTTCAGATCTTTCTAAGAGACTTCTGATGCCTGCATGGCTGACAGCAGTGCCAGCACCAGGCAGGGCTCTGAGGGGGCTCTGTCCGAGGGACTGCAGTCTCAGTGCTGAATATCCAATACTGAAATCCTCTGCCCATCCGCCCTGCAAAACAGCCTCAGGGTGGTATCCAGTCCCAGGGTCAGCTCATACTCCAGAATTAGTCTGCAGCACAGCAGCTTTCATTTCAGAATTACAGCGAGAGCCATAGCTTAATATTTCTCATGAAATGATCAGAGTTCCTACTGTTGCCATGGTTATTTCATCAAAGCCTGAGCTAGAAGAACGTTGAAAGAAAACATGAAAAGACAGAGCTCATCTTCTCACTGTGCACACAATGCTTTATGCACACTGGGATCAAGTTGGACATTTAGATTTGGTTTAAGGGACCTCTGCCTTGGGGCAGCACATTTCTGTGGGATTTCTTTGACCCTTCAGGGGTCAAAGCAGCGCGTAACAAACATCAGCCCATCAGCAGCAGCAGCCTGTGGGTGTATGTCTGAAATTCCTGCCTTGAGGAACACAGGATTGGAGCAGCCTTATGCTCTTACAGTGCTCTGCAGGTGTCTGGGTCCCCCCCGCCACATAGCCATGCTTTTTAAGCTCTCTGTGACCAGAACCAAAGGCAGCTTGTTTTGCTGCACGCTGGCCCAGCACCATCTCCAGGTGGGACCCAGCACCAAGCTGGCTCTGCCAGTGCCCTTGATGGCTGCAGGCTGCATTGGGAGCCTTGCATGAGCCAGTGCCAGTATGCCATTCCCATTCCAGCTCCTGTGCTGCTACAGAATGCTTTCGGGGACAGGATGTAGCTTTCCATTTTCTATTGTTTCTTTGGGAAACATTCGCTTTTGTGGGTATTTTTGGCCAGGACAATATAAACAGCCCATAAGAGATGTGCTCCTCCAGGTTGAAATTCCAGGTGAATGCCAAACTGCAATCCATAGGTGATGCCAATGGGTATCAGAATCAGCTGAACAGCCATGAGCAGCAAACAACTCTGTGGGTCACTGAGCCCTTGCCTGCTCATTACCCAATGAAGGCTGTTCTCAAGGTTCACTTAGCACCACTGCTACAGCACTAGGCACTGGGTACCTTTTCTTTTGCTTATCACCTGGCCTGAACCCCATTACCTATTGACAAATAGGGAGTAAACCTTGTTTTCTTAAGGGCTCCTGTAAGAACATACTGGAGAAGCTTAGCAGCAGCCTTCTACAGCTGAGCAACCCCTCACCCAAGCACAACCTGGAAATGTGCAGGCAGAAATGGCTCCTGCAGCCCCCATGCAGCTTCTGAGGAGCAGTGCGATGGGAAGGGGCATCATGGCCAGGCAGGAGCACTGCTTCTCAGTGCCTCTGTTTCACACTGCAAGCAAAGTCACACAGCAAATCTGGTTTCTGTCTGCTTTGATATCTTTTGTCTCTCTGTATTTTTTTCCTCTCTTTCCTTTATTGTCTTCTTTTCTCCATTTACCTCCCAAGTACAGCTAAATCAAGCTATTCTTCTCAAAACTGTAGAAAGCCTCCCCTTTAACTGTGATTCAATTCAGTTGCCTCAATGAATCTCTTCCAGAACAATTAGTAATTATCTAGAATTATTTAATTCTCCAGTTGGTGAATGCTACAGCCCTGATGAATTATTTTGTGGCCTTTAATTCAGTGCCTGTAGGTTTGTTTGCAATGTAATTTAACAGAAATTAAAATAAATTCTCAGTGAACCAAATGACATGAGGTCTGACATAGAGATGGAGCTCTACAGCCCCAATACAGTGCTCTGCTCCACCAGCACACAGCCTGGGCTGGGACCAGGGCAGGAGGAGCAGCAGGACTCAGTGTGACACCCACCGCTGACTTCCCCTTACCCTGCTGTAATGCTATAATGCAATCTTAGCAGGGTAGCAAAGACTTTGGCTGCAGCAAGCTAGGATAAGCCCAAGTGCAGCAGCCCTGGATGCAGAATCTACAGAAAAAAAGCTGTTTACCTTTACAAGGCCTCAAGTACACAGGGATCTCCAGAGAGATACCCTCACCTCCACTGCCAGCCCTTAAATGAGGTCTGGGCAGGAGTGGATCCTGGATCCATCCCTTCCACCACTCAGTGGCACTGTTTGACTTGAGCTCCCCCGGTTGGCCCTGCCTTCCCACCAGGTGCTGCATCACTTCTTCAAGCCCTGAGTTAGCATTTCTGCTACACCTGCACTCAGCTGGGAGGCTTTAGTATGAATTACCTGGGGGAATCCCTATGGATGAGGTTCACCTGCTACAAGGGTCCTTCTTTCAGACGTGTGCCAAACTCCGTCCATTGCCACCCTTGCTCACAGGTCAGTGTTGGCTGTCGGGATGAGCACAGCGGAGCAAACGCTATTTGATGAGGGCCCCTTCGTGCACCCAGCTCGCTCCCCCCAGGCCTCGCGGCAGGACGCGGCCAGGGGCGGCTGCACGGCGCTGCACGGCTGAGCTGTGTGCTGGCACATGCACAGCAGGGCTCTGAGCTCCGCACGGAAGCTCTCATTCAGCCAGCAGTAAATGAAGGGATTGTAGCAGGTGCTGCTCATAGCAAACCAGTGCAGGGCAAAGTAGAGCGAGTTGTTGGTCTTGATGCCCAGGCTGGAGATGAGCACCACGTAGCAGTTGAGGGGAAACCAGCAGACAGCGAAGACCACCACAACCAGCACCAGCATCTTGATGCTCTTCTTCTTGTTCCTGTGGTGGGCGACGTACTGCTGCGTGGTGACGTCACCGATGGCATTGCGCAGCCACAGCTTCTTGGCCAGGCGCGTGTAGGTGGCGGTGATGACGAGCAGCGGCAGCAGGTAGAGAAGCAGGAAGGTGGACAGGTCCAGGTACTTCCAGACCAGCTCTGCAGGCTCAGGGAAATCCGGGAGGCATAGGCTCCGCACGGTGGCTTCCCTTGAAAACAAGGAGGTGTGTGTGTAGCACGTGGCCGTGCGGATGGGCGCTGCTCATTTGGCAAAACGTGCTGAGGTTTTTGCAGCCCCACCGACACAGCCTATGTGGTGCCAACAGGGAAGGGGCAGATATTGCTCATCTCAACTGATAAAGGTCAATCAGAGCTGTTCCCCTGAAAACCCTCTCCTCGTGCCATCACCCTGAGGCTTATGCTCGTTTCTGCATGCTTTTGCTGCCTTCTGCCCTAAGTTATTCTGCTGTCCCAAAAAAAGAGAACCTGAGAAAGACAGTGCAGAGCTCCCCCTCGGAAGCTGCAGCAGATTTTAATTCAGTGAGGCCCTCACATCCTCTTAGAACAGCAAAAAGTTGCTCCTGAAGGCTTTTTTTTTTTTTTTTTTTTTAAACTTAAACTCTGTTTTAACTTCTGGTGACTAGATAAGACAAAACAAGGATGTTCATATCTGACAGATTAATTAAATACAACTCATCCATTCAATTCAGCACAACAGATCCGTGCTCTGTTGGCACTTCTCACTGCACCTCCACACCACGGAGAACAGGAACACTGAGTGTTCCTGCAGACATCGAAAACAAAAAAGCATTAAGAGAAAGGGACACTCACAGATCTATTTCCTGGTGATGTTTTCTCCACTTCTTTCCTTGTGTCCCTGCCTCTTTCCTCTTGTTCCACTTTGCCCTCTTCAAACCTTGTCCTCTGTCCACTTGTCTCCATCAAGCTGCACTATTTGCTGCAGTATTGATTAATACCTGTAATATCATGTTCTCAGCTTTCAGAGTTGGCTTTTGTGCCACAAATAGAAGGTTAACTGGAAATGGGCAGCACTGAAGGTGCGTGCCGCAAGAGATGACGGAGGGCAAGGCAGGGCACAGCAAACCTGAGAACACGAGGACGTGGAGGACATGGAGGACCCAAGGCCACTCTGCAGGACACGCAGCCACACATGGGCAGCACGGAGAGGCCACATGCCCACCGTGGCTCTGGGCACAGCTCTGAGCACGGCTGCAGCCTGGCTCCTGGCTAACATCCCAGGGAAGCAGCTCCTGCTGCTGTCAGCTCCCAGCCATGGGATCTATTGCTGGTGACATTACCACCAGCATTTTTACTGAATGGAAAACAGCGATGAAAATAACGTGCCCTGGAAGTCCTTATATTGCCAACTGCCCCGTGCCAGCTTGAGGCTGGGTTTCCTCTAGGCACACCGAAGGATGAGCACTGACAGGTGCAGTGAAAGAGATAGTGGCATTTGTTCATTCATAAGCAATTTGTTGGGTAATAGCCTGAGCGCAGCTGCAGAGCAGTGCGTGCACTGGAGTAACCCAGCACTCTGTTTACAAAGTCTGAGAGCTGAAGATCTCATATCCCCCTGCAAGACACCTCTTGGGCACATAAATCACAGCACGAGCAAGGAGGAGCTGTGGAAGCCCACGCTGCACTCCCGTTTGTGTAACCCATCCACAACCACTATAAAAAGCCATGCAAGGAGGTGAATGGGCCCCTACAGTGCTGATAGGAATGGCTGTGCTGCAGGAAGACATTCCAAGCCATGAGTGCCCTCAGCAGACAGCACACAGAGGGGAAGGTAAGAGTTTGGTTTTTGTTTCTTTACTTTCTTCCAGTACCTCAGAAGACTTCAGGTGGGTTTGAAGTTCCACCTCCCCTCCTCTCAATAAGTTTTAGTTGTGTTCAGCCCAGCAAGGAGCTCCCCGTGCTGCCAGGCAAGCGCAGCAGCACACCCAGACCTGCCACCCCTGTTGCAGCACTGCTCTGCTCATCAGCCCTGCACTGCAAGAAGAGAAGTAGTGTTTCTCTTCTGCTTCTCCAGCTAATGTAACACCGTGCAGGAGCAGCCTCCTGCTTTGAGGAAGGTTCCCCTGCTGCACAAATCCAGAGATAAACACTGAGGAGCCACAATGCATGAATCAGCACATGAAGTTGGGGCTCAGGCCTGGCTGACTCAGAGGCACTCCTACCCCTCCCTGCCTCTCCTGCTCTGTACAAGTGCAGATGTACTGCAGATGTTTACACATGCGGTTCACTTTCTCTTCCAAACCGCAGCACCTGCTGTTTCCTCCCTGCCTGCGCATGGGGCCACACAGACACGGTCCTTCTGGGATTACAGAGCTGACTGTGTGCTAAGGGACGAGAAATGGACCCTGGGGGAAGCCAGCCTCTGGGAGACAAACCCACCAGGCACAGAGAACCAGTGAGCGCCCCACAGCGCGGCTGTGCCTGGGTGAGGGGCTCAGCCTGATCGCCTCCTGGGAAAAGATGAAAACAAAGCGAGGTTCCACACTCCTGTGCGCTGAGAGGCTCTTCACTGCAGGCAAGCCTCTGCCATAGGAAATGAGATTTCATTGACACACAGAAATTCCACGGATGGCATCGAGTGCCGCAATGTCTCCCCACAGCTGGGACTCCTCCACCCCCACACTAAGAGCAGAAAGCTCACCTGTAGTTGTACTGGAAGAGCTTCTGGTAGATGGCATGGGGCAGGGAGAAGCAGGCAGCCAGCAGCCAGATCACAGCGATGCTCAGTGCTCCTTTTGTCAGAGACATCCTTTGCTTGAGTGGGTTCAGAATGACCTATAACACAGACTGCACGAGGCTCTTGTCTCATGGGAAAGCAAAGTCCTTCCACCAAAGCACACATATATAACACATATGTATGATTTAATGCTATTTGGAAAATAACAGCCATGATTAGGGGAAAGTCCTGCATATCAGAGCGACCTAGAAAATGGGAAACAGTTAATTTCTCAATCTGCTCAGAAGTGCTTTCAGATAGACTTTTTCCTCTATTTCTTTTCTGGGATAATCATTTTCTTTAAATTTTGTAAAAATAAGTGGAAAAAAATAATCCTGTGCAAATTTCTTCACTTCTGGGTACATCCTTTCATTCAGTATGAATTATATAATGAAGCATGGTTTGTTTGAGCTGAGCCCTCTGCCCATCTGGAGACATTAGCTTAGCCTTCATGAAGCTTCCTGAGTTAGATGAAAAGATTTCAGGAGCTTATAGAAGCTCAGCATATGAAAAATTCTGTTTTGGTAGAGGAAAGGAGAGCAAGTGCCTGATAGAAGCGCACAGCCTGGTCTACCTTCTCCTTCCTGCTTTCACAATACATGGAGCGCTCAGTGCAGCAGGCAGGTGATGCAGTCTGGCAGCAGGCAGTGATGAGCAATGTCTTCTCACAGCTCCAACATGCCCCCCAGTATTCCCACAGCAGCCCCTCACCCTGCTGCTCCCCTTCATGCTGCTCCAGCATCAGTCCTGCAGTTACACTTCACCAACTGGGATTGCTTTTTACTGATGCAGAGAGCTGAGAACCTCTGCCACCTCAAAGCACCCTGCAGCTCAGTGGTGCAGCAAACAGCCAGTGCTGTTTGAGAACAGAACAAGCAGGCAGTCAGGTCAGAATTTAAGGTCAGGATGTTAGATGTGTTTTACCGGTTTGACTTAGAAAGCTGAAAAGCTTGAAAATATCCCCTGCATAGCTGAACCACTGCTTTGCTTTTGGCAGTGGCTCTGCTGCCTTTCAAGACCCCCACTGCAAACAAAACCATCACACCTATCAGCCATGCCATGGCAGCTTGCTTTAACCACCACAAACATAAAGCTCAGCTGGCATCGAAGGGGCTTGGGAGGAGCTGTGCAAAAAGGCATGGGAGAGCAGGGCCTCACCTGGTGCCTGTCCAGGGCGATGGCTGTCAGAGTGAGCGTGGAGACGTGCAGTGAGCAGTACTGCACGAAGCGGCTGACATGGCACATCGCCTTCCCAAAGATCCAGGTGCTGTTCACAAACCGAACCTGAGGAGAAAACAAAAGCCATCAGCAACCAAACTCCCAGGGAACACCTTGGGCTGCACCTGACCTTGCTGCTGCCCTTTGGCTGCTGGGCAGCTCACCCAAAATCCACAAAGCAGCAATGTGGGATGTTGAAGCACCCTTACATAAGAGCTTATAAGTTAAAATATGGAGTTGAAATGAGTGGCGCTGTTGCAGCCCACCCAGCTTATCCATATAAATAGCATCTACAAACAGCAGTAATTACATCTTTATTATACCAATAATTACATTTGGACAAAGTGGCCATGCTCTGCTCCTGTGCCACTCCCTGCACATCTGGAGGGCTTTCACTGAAGTCTTTACCTAGCTGCTCACTGTGAGGGACTTGGCTGTTTTTCCCCCAGCTATGACCAGCAGCCACATTGCTCTGAACCCTTGGATTTAAAGTTTGACTTTGCAGTCCTGCTGCATGCATGTTATCGGTTCTGACAAACCCAGACATCCACTCTGCAATCCCCAAGCAGCTCTCCTGACCTGCGGCAGTTTGTCAGCACACCTAGAAAGACTTCAGAGTCCAATCTGGAAACAAAGTCCAACAGAGCCCAAGGGAGCCCACAGTTTGCTGGACGTTGCTTTACCTGTGCAGCAGAGCCATCCATTAGGCTTGGCTGTGTTGGCTTCACACCTCAGTTCTAGCACAGCAACCACCGGACTGCATATTTCTGGGGTGAGTGCCCCCAGCCAACAGGACTGCCCTGCATGCCACCTACCAGAGTGAAGGGCGTGTTGAGCAGTGTGATCATGATGTCAGACACAGCCAGGTTGACGATGAACAGGCTGGTGGCCGAGTGCATCCTCTTGTTCTTCAGCACCACATGGCACACCAGCACGTTCCCAAAGAGAGACATGATGATAATCACTGAGTACACCACGATCAGGAGAGCCTTCACAGTTGGTTTCTGGGATTCTGGCTCGTATCGAGCCAGCTCCGCAAACTTCTCCCACTCCACAATGCGGCTGTCTGTCCAGTTGAAGGCGGTCCTGTTGGTTGCTTGGTAGATGGACATGAGTTTGGTCAAGGAATAGTAACGGTCAAACTCCTCAAGATAAGCTATCTGTGCCTGGTGGGATGGAAGCAGCACGTGAGGCATGGTGGGTGAACCCAGGTCGTTGCTCAGCTGCCAACCGGGCTGCCGACACAGCAGTGGCCCACCAGCCACACCTGCTCAGCTCTCTGGGAAGCTGGTGAAGATGCAGCTGGCACTGTGAGCAATGCCTGTAGGTGCACAGCCTCAAAGGTGCAACGGGCTCCCAGGGAGCAGCACCAGGGAGAACTTAAAGCAGAGGCCTCTGCACAGGGCTGGTTTGGGACTGTGCACTCCCAACTCCTCCGCATACCAGGAGCTGCAATAGCTCCACAGGTGGGCTGGAGAGATCAACTCATTATTACACAGAGCACATGTAGGAATGGGCATTTGTCAGGTTGTTTTTATTCATTCTCAGATGAGTGCACTTTTCCTCCAACTTTCAGGGAAGGATGTTCTGGTGCTGCTCTCATCCCATACTTCAGAACAGTTGTTTCTTTTCTGCTGAAAGATTAAACAAGTTCATTTAGGGTGTCATTTTTGAGATCACAGCTAGCTGTTGTATGCACCTAACCCCAGCAATTACCCTGGAGTTGTTCAGAACTTGAAAAATCACATCAGAAGTTAACTTCAGTCTATCTCATACTTAAAAAAAAAAAACAACACAAAAACAGCTAAATTCTGTTCAGTTTCATTTCCAGTGAGAAAGCAACCTGCCCAGCAAAGGCAACACTCAGCAGTAAAGAGGTACACAGGTCAAAAAACACCCTCACAGCATATACAAACCAGCACAAAGCATCAGAAAACTCATCAGGCATAAAAATCACTACTTTCTCACCTCTCAACCTCCTTTTCTCGTTTTTAGGTATTTCTGGTGATTTCAGATTGATCTGTTGTTGTTAGGAACTTAAGAAGCACTCGTACCATTACATCCAGCTATGCAGCACACAGGAGGAGAAAGTTGTTTGGAAAGCATCAGGATTTCAGCAAGGAGATGCCTTGTTTTTGTGCCCCATGGCTGTGTACACAAATAGTGATCTCGTATGGAGGGCAGGATTAAGAAGCAGCATTCTTGGAGCTGCAGAAACTCACCAAGATGTCAGGAGGCCGCAATGCTCACCCAGTAATGCGAGCATCCAGAACTGCGCCCACCTGGGTGGATGCCCACCGGGGTGCTGAAGGGCCCACAGTGAGGACCCCGTGCTATCACACCAGGGAGCTGAGCCAGCCCAAAATCAAACAAGTGGTGTTCCCAGCTGCTGACCTGGTCGACCTCATGGCTTATTTCTCCCAAGAGAGGCTCAGGAACAGGAGAGCTTAAGGAGATGATGGAGCTGTGACCTGATTTTCCAGCATGGAACTCCTTAGGAATTTCTGTATCCGTCAAAAATGGCCGAAGCAATTGTTGGAGCTCGGCACTGGCTGCAGCCTCAAGCAGAGCAAAGGCGCAGCAGGGACAGCATCCTGCTTTCCTGGGGAGGTGCACGCACTCTGCACCACGGTTTAACACAACAAGCATTCAGCCTTATAACTCCAAGTAACCCGAAGGATCAGAGAAGGAAATTCCACCCAGCTCAGCCTTCCCCCGCCCTTCTGCCCCGGGTGCCTGCAGGCGGCCGCAGCACCCACGGCTCCAGCTCAGCCCTTTCTGTTGCAGAAGCGCTCACCTTTCATCACAAAGAATTTAAAGGCACCTCAGCGAAAACCATCTGTACGATCTGAACTCTAAACACAAACCAACGCTTCACCCCCCGAACCGAGCAAGCCTCTAGCGAAGAGCACGCAGGGCGCAAAGCGCGAGTTAAACGCGGTTTCCCAACAGACTCCAAATAACAGAGCGAGAAAAACTCCCCGCCCCTTACCGGCTGTGCCGCCGCCGGCAGCTCCGGCTCGGACCCCCTCGGGCTCGAAGCTCCGCCGGACCCGCGCAGCGCGGAGCCGCCGCGCCCCACACGTGCAGCCCGGGTGCAGCCCCGCGCCCCGCCGCGCTCCTCTGGCTTTAGCGGAGATCGGCGCTCGGAGGCAGAGCCCGACGGCGCGCTCCGTGCCGGGCTGTCGGAGCGGTCGGAGCACGGCGGGGAGCGCGATTCGTCCGCGGGTGTGCGTGAGGTTCATGAGAAAGCAGCGCCGCGGCTCGGGGAGCGCTCTCATGTACCGCCGCGCCGTCGGTGCGCACGTGCTTCGCGGGCAGGTCAGGCAGAGTGAAGCTTCCCGCACGGAGCGCTGTAGGAACGCTCCGCTGCGGCTCCCGCGCAGAAGGGGAGAGCGTAGGTCGCTCAGAACGTTGTGCCTCCTATTGCTACAATCAGAAAGGTTAACGTGGTGGAAAGGTGATATAGGAGTGAAACAGCAAAAGAGATTAACGCGGATGGGACGGTGTTACAAAGGGAAAGCGCTCACCCGTCTCCAAAAATCTCGGCTCACGAGGAAACTCTACAAGAGGGAATCTCCACCCAGAGATCCTTCCCCGGTGGGGGTCACCCCTTCCATGAGGTCTGTGAGAGGTGCAGCCAGGCTCCACCCTTCCGGTCACACAGCTGAATCTCCTTCACCTCCGCTCCCAGGGCTGGCCGGGTCCTTCCCCCAGGCGATCCACCAGTGGTTCAGGCCCAAACTCAACAGTTCCCATACACCTACCTATTTCCATGGAAACTCCAACAAATACAAAAGTGCAATAACGCTATTTGAGAAAGTTCTCAGTTGCAAAATACTGTTTTTCAACATAGTCACCACCGTTAAGTGTGTGTTTTCACCAGCAGTGAGCAAGAGCTGCATAACATGCTTATAAATATCTGCACCAGTGGAGGTGAGCTGCTGTCACCTGCTGAAATGCACCACCCGCTCCTCACTGTGCTCACGTGCACTGTTTGGTCTCTGTAAATGCTCAGCAAGGTGAATGGCAATTGGTGCCATCTTTTCTGCATAGCAAAATTCCATGCCGACCATTTGCTCCGTATGTACTTCTATGTCAGACACCGTTTTGTCAGACCACCTTTCTGCTGCCATGGATCACACAGCAACAAAATGTGATGGAATATCAATGGGAAGGTTCAGCTTCTGCTGCCAACTCTCACCAACGTCCACCTCTGACCAGCATAATAACATAGGAGCCATTTCTTTGGTAGCAGCCCTCATGGTCCACAAACTTCATTCTCTCATTGTAAAAGGGTGGAATAAAGCAGACAGGATGCTCAGTGCATGCAGTGAAATTGTCACATCTCTTTGGATACAAGCTGTTCACCAGTTCTTGTGAAAAAAAAAAAGAACAGGATTCTTTTCTTCTAGTTCTGAGACATTTGGATGATCTCAAAAGTCATCAGCAGGAGCAGGAAGGACATGTTGGCCACCCATTCATGTGGGCTGCCCACACACACACCCCTGATGCAGAGGATGGAAGTCTGATCTCCACAGATTAATTCCCAGAACAGCAGGTGAAGAAAGTCAGTGCCTACGGCACCTTTCTGACGGGGCAGTGCTGTGAAGGCCGGCTGGAGGCTCAGTGGAGATCTCTGTGCATTTCACGGGGCTCTGGATCCTCCCAGGTGCGTAGAGCCCTGCGGCGCCCTGTGGGCACGGAGCCCTGCAGCATCCCTGGGGCACACAGCATCTGCATGTATGGGGTAATGCAATTAACAGAGAACAAAAATCACAGCAAGCACAACAATCTCCAAGCTTGAAATCTTGAAGTGGGGCTTTTAGTGGAATTTCAGCCCTGATGGATTCTTCTTAAATAAGCACTCTTCCTGGGCCTAAATCCTTCTTGGCAGATGCAGACACAGCCTCACAAGAAACAAAGGTGATTTTGGTCTCAGACACAGACATTGGAAGATACGTGTTTGAACTGGAGATTGTAGTCATTTCAATTTCCACCATGTGCAGCTCACACCTTATTAAAAAGAAGAAAGGTTTTGGATTCTGTCCTCCTCCCATCTCCTCTGTGGCTGTGGCTCTGTCTGCAGCCACTTTCCCTCTGCACAGGGGAACCCAGCCCATGTCTCCTTCCCAGAGTGGGGTGTCCTGAGTTACCGTGTGGTTGGAGTTGGCCACAGCCACATAACCTCTCTCAAAGCACGCAGACAGTGATGGACCTTTTCACAATTGCACACTTCTGCAGTTTGGGCACCTGGTGCAGCTGGTGCTGCGTCTGCCAGAGGCTTTTGGAGAAACCAGTGTAAATCTTTGCAAATAATAATAAATAGCAGAGGCACTGCTCTGAAATGGGAATCCTCCCCATCGGAGGGGAGAGACAGCCTTGGGATGGATGTTTCCTGGGGTCTAAGTGCTGCCCACCCCAAACCTGTGACAAACCTCCGGTTGCTCTCAGCAGGAGAGGAGTGAAGTCTGTACTTACTGTACCTTCTTGCCTGAGGCACGTAAGGACATTCTGCACAGCAAGTGATCTTGTAGGCCTCTTTTTCTTTTTTTTCCTCTGAAGTCATTTCCATCTGGACTATGAGATTCCTTGCATCTGAAAAGCCATTGCCTTATTCTGTCTATAAGCCTGTGTGTGCTTCATGTCTTGCACAATGCGGTGTTGGCTTTATACTGCCAGCACGTTCAGAAATTAGAGCAATGAGCTTAATCAGATCCTCAGCAGGATCTCTTTCTTCAGATGCAAAGGATTTATTTACAGGTATGCATTAGAACCTCCTGAAACATTCAGAATGAAACTCAGTGCAGTCCCATCCCTGCATCCTATCTTCCTTTCACAGTAATCCCCACTGACCCTCAGCTGTGTTTGGTTCCTGCATGCAGACAGGTGAGCAGAGATGGAGGGCAGCCCGCTGTGCTGAAATCAGCTGAAATCAGGCTGCTTTAACACAACTCACATCAACAACAAGTGCTGTGCCGTGGCTTCCAGGCTCCCACCTGGCAGATGTGCAGCAGATCTGGGTGCTGCCCCCTGTGCCTGCATGGCAGTTCCCCCACATCCATCTCTCAACTGTCCAGGTGTGCTGGGAGAGCAGCGCCTGAGCTGTGGAAGAAAATTGTTCAGGGTTTTCTGTGTTGATTTCCTTCAGCAAAATGCAAGTTGCCCACGTGTCTGGGGAGGCTTTGCAGCTGAAGATGTTAAAGGCATTCAGTATTTTTCCTTTGGGTGTCTTTCTGTTAAATGCCAGAAGGTTAATTTGTCTCCTGAAGGGTTGGGAGCTCTCTGGAGAAATGCAGAGATGATGCACAGACATGAAACCAGAGGCACTGTAAGTTCGGAGCCACAAGAAAGCTCCTTTGCTCTCAGATATTGATATTTATTGCCATCATTATGTTTTGAGGTACAGAAGGTGAAGCCGATGCCCTGCAATACCTTCTGCCATGCATGGCACCCACAGGCACAGCTCAGTGTGTGCAGCTGCTCACCTTTCCCTCATGTGATGTGTGTAAAGCCAGCTCGAGTGCACACAGGGCAGCCAAGGTCTGAATTCATAACTTCTGAACTGCACCAGGCTGCTCCCATCAACCCCATGCCCTCAGAGCTCAGCTCTCTGCCACGGCTGTGAGCCTCCCTCCATAGAGCTGAGTGGAGCTGTGCCAACCTGGGCTAAAGATAAGGATACTATGGGATTAGGCAGTAGTGAGACAAGTTAGTTTTACCCTACTGATGAGGTGTTGCTGCTCTAGTAATGCACATCATAAGCCAGTGGGTGGAGGGATAAGATCCATAAGAATGGCTTCAATGGGAGGAACAAGAAGAAGACAACAGTGCAATTGCAATTGCGTTTTGCAATTTTTTTGGTCCTTTTTATCCGTTACAATCACACGGACTGCCATCAGCTGTGCACTCTGTCCCCACCTGACAGCTGGCCGCACGGTTTCCATGCAGAATGAAGGCAGCAGAGAGCAATGAGAGCAGCAACTCCTGCCTGCACCTTTGTGCCCGTGGCAGCTGAGGGCACAGTAGCACACCGCAGCCCTGGCGATGGGAGGAGCAGAGCCCGGCGCTTCTGACGTTTCCCTTTGCATTGGTAAAGCTGCGGCTCCCGCAGCCTCCAAGCCTTTCACAGCCCTGATTGAGTCCTTCCTCCTAACAGGCGTTGGAATACAGGATGGAAAAAGAAACCAAATCCACTTTTCCTTAACAGAAAACTCACTGCTAACAGAAATGGAAAAGGTCAGCGAATACATTTACTTCTTCATCTGCAGGAACACATTTTACTTTTTGGTGCACAGTGTGTGAAAATGCAGTAACATAAGTGAGAAACACCCGAGTCCATTGTGAGACCACGCAGCAGCACTGAGCAGCACACTTCTTCCTGCACCCACACGGAGCCCTGCTGCCTTAGTGGAAGGCTCAGAGCTCATTCCCCATTCAGTCCTGAGCACAAGCCCTGAACACAAGTCTGTCTGCAAGCACCCTGCTGGTCCGAGCCTGCAGAGCTGCAGCTGTGCAGGAAAACTTTGTTAAGGGGATCCGTCCGTCTGGATCTCCTCCTGCCCCCCAGGGCTCCTCCTGGATTAATCTGAGCACGCAGGTCTTGTCCAGCCCAGAGCTCAGGTCCCACCCATTCTCCTTCCAGTTTTCATCCCTGCCCCAGCTGAACCTGTTAGGAAACCTAACACAAATAAAGTCCCTTCTGCTTTTCTCTCTCCCATCTGATGCATTTACTATCAAGTGGCCCTGGGATCAGGTGGATTCATCTTTCAAGCATATTTTCTTTTTTATGACTATGCTGAGCCTGGAATTTAAATGCATGTTAATGTTCTGTGTTTTCTCTTGCACCAATTAGCCTGGCAAGCACAGAAGCCAAATCTTTCCTGCAGGTGCATAGATGGCCTCAGAGGAGAAACGCCATGAACCTCTCCTTACTTTGTTCTCTTTGTTAGTTTAGGAGTATGAACAATTAAAACTAAAGA